TAACTGTTTTCGATCATTTACAGATGGGGATATTCAATAACGAATTGTAACTATGATCCAGCATTACAAGCGTTTTACATATGCTCCGACGTACTTTATTTAATAGTAACGGTTGGTGCAGCAGCGTTACTAGCATTTAGAATCATAGTGCGTAAGGGTCGAATTTGGAAGGAACGATGCTTTTCACCATTAGAAGGTTACTTATTGGGAATCGTCATATTCGGCGCCGCACGTGCATTTACGAATATTGTTCAACAAATGGATTGGTTTTCGAGCAATCCCATATTGAGAGAGGTTATTTATGACTTCAGTTGGTTTCCGGGTGATCTAACGATAGCCACGTATTTGACGGGTATATTCAGAACCCTTCCAAAGATGTCCTTTTACAGATTCTCCAATCAAAACACGCCCACAATCTTTTTACTCAAAGAATCGCAAATCACAAGTATTTATTGGAAGTTTTCCTTCATACATATATTGTACTCTCAAACCTTTGCGATATTGACAGGTATTGCGAGACTTCACATTCCACCGCACACCCCATCAAAATTCCTTTGCTTGATATTTGGTTTTCATTGGGTCGGTTACGGTTTGGTGCATTTATGTTTTGTGCTGACCGCAGCTTATTATGGCAAAAAGTTGGTCGAGTTAACCAAAAATAGTTTTACGTTGGCCGGTGGTGATGATGAAGAAAATATATGCAATCTCAATAGCGTAATCACAGGTAAGGATAGCATCAAGTTGGATGAGTACAATGTTCATGGTGAATACGTGAGGAGCGAAACTTTTAATTCGGAAGGAAATAGTAGTAGAAAATTAACGAAAAATGAATGGCAAAATTTAAGGATAAGTCAAAACATAAGAAAGGTAAAGATTTATCATCATCATCATCTACTTCTTCATTGATTCTTCTTGATTACCTTTTCCCACCCCCGCTAATACTTTTTTCTTTTTTCCTTCTATTTCGACAGATGAGAATATTAAATTTCACGTGTATTTATACGTTCCTATGTTATGGTGTATCTTTAATTATGCTTGCCTTTCTTCATTATAGATTATTTAAACAACCACATATCAGCAAATCATTTTTCTTTCTCACAAATATCACTACTCCATTATGTATGCTCGTCGCCTTGGCTGGCATTCTGCAGGCGGAAATATACCCGGAAACTTATGAGTTTATGGGTCTTAATTCAAATAACTCCTCAACGTAAATAAGCATAAGCATAAGAAAAAAAAAAAAAAAAAAAAATTTAAAAGTGCGGAATTTTTTTTTTTTTTTTTTTTTTGATTCTTTGATTAAGAACATACGATATTCTCGTAATCTATTTAGATTACCCAAACCATGATATAAAGCAATTAGGTTGTTTAATTATAAATTATTACCATTTATGGCCTACTTCCATTATCTTTATTAAGATGTATATCTCAAAATCCAGATTGTATTT